TGTCTGATCCACGTCATATCGGATAATGTGCATTTATAAAAACGTGGTATTGAGGTGGCCAGGGTTTAATAATGGGGTTTAATCGAAATCATATACAAGCGTGAAGCCAACCTTCAGAGGTTTACCCGAATAAATCAACACATGATAGCGTTGTTTATGCGAACGCCAATGCAAACATTACTTTATTGTTGAGATCATCAGCCATGATCAATTTACTGCTGGATGAAGGCCACCCCAAGCCATCGCCATCCCCTACAGCACAATGCTAATTGGCCAAGGTCTCCGTGGTGTCATTCCTACATCCTAACCCTATTAATTACCCTATTATTTATCATATTATTTATCCCCCAACTTTACATATGCCATTAATACTCATGTCGCCAAAAACAGTAAACCATAAGCCAAACACTTACCCTATTACGAACACGACTGCTAAACCTTAACACCATAACACATACTATTTTTTATTTAAAGCTTTCGTGACTGCAGGGATTCATATTCTTGGTTCTTTCGGTAAAGTCACGTAGAAGGGAAACAATAAAATAAAAATATAAAACAAAAAAATTCTCACGACGTTTCGACTGCAATACAAGCAATCATCATCATAATACTATTATCACACTACTCCCTATTCCTAATATTAAGGCTATATGACTTCTAACCCTATTCCTTACTCATAAGGTTTAACATTAACCCTAAACATACCACTCACACTAACCCTATCACTTAAACCAGTCACACTAACCTGTCGTGCCACTATCACTAACCGCATTCTCACCTTCTCACTAAGCCTAAACGGCGTTCTTAAAATCAACCCTCACAGTCCAGAACGCTGTTCTAGGATTTATATTGGCATGCCACATCCATCTCGCCTTATTCTGTCCTCGTGATACTGCGATGGCGTGCAAAACACGCAAGCGAATAACGCTAAGGGCTACCAGATGCACTCTCGTGGTAGTGCCGTACGCCGAAAATCCATTCTTTCCTGAAGCTATCGAGTGGGAAATGAAGGGTCTATCTAAACCAAGGGTTAGCAACCTGCGGCTTCAGAACCGCAAGTGGCTCTTTAAGGGAATGGCTCCCATTCTGGTTGCCGAGCCCTGGTATAAACGTTGCCTTAATGATATCACTGACCCTTGTCCCTAATTTCAGACAAGAGTGGTGGGGAGGAGATTCGTCCAGCAGCGGACTGGCAAAGGGGCTTTGAGTAAAGTCATTCGTGGCTTTTAGAGGCTGGAAGGATGCACAACGATGCATCGCCGATGATTCGGATACCTTAACTCGCGATGTGCGAATTAAATCGCACAGACACGGGGTAAAAAAAATGCAATCTTTTTAAAGATGCGTGCACATGCGTTTGTCCGGTTCAGGATACCCCTGCATCCACTAGAGGCCGCTATAGTCACCGCCGGTTGCTTTGTGAGTCAGAGGGCAACGCGAGACTCGCAATGGTTGTGTGCCCAGTACAATGGCACGGGTATCGTGTACAACTGTTATATAACGGCAGTATAGAGTACTGTGTCTAATACAGTACGCAATAAATGTGTTTCACGGCAGTATTCGCTAGTATATTTTGTGAACACGTTCGTACATCGGTATACCGAGTAGTATGTATTGTATGCATTGTATAGTGTTTTTTAGCATGATCTTTGTAACGATGTGAACACATTCATAACTAAGATGACAGGGTATGTATATCAGGTCAATGGTCATGACCAGTCACGATATTACTTGGTTCACCGATTGTGGATTTGTGGTACGTAGTGCTTGGCACAAGACTTAAGACAATGTGGGACTTTATAGGCTTATACCCTGTCCGATGAGGGAAAGCACTCGTTTGAGATGTAACTTTTGGGAGACTCAAAGTTGAGAATGTTGGTTCTCCAGATTTTTCTGCTTATAATCATACAGACTCGACTTCTTTTTTTTATTCTTTGCACATTCGGGGTCTCTCTGGCACCTTTTACATCAGTCACCATCTCGCACTGACCAGAATAACCCACACTTACAAACCCGCACAAGCGTGAGGAGGCCCTCAATCCAGCGGTGGATTGACAAAATTACGGCACAAGCACATGTACATCGTCTTTGTTTCTGGCTGATTTGGCCGTTACTTTGTGTTCCGTATTATGCCCGTGCATAACTTCACTGCGCTGGTCCAATGCGGGTTGTTGTAAGCGTGGAAAGGGGGGGGGGGGGTCCATAACGTAGTACAATACAACGGGGCTTTTTTTTATGAACTGCCCTCTGCTGACAACATCGACCCCACAGCAGCCTACACACAACACGCGTTGCACGGAGTATAGTTGTTTGCCCGTTCGAAAAAAACTCTCCAGGATTCCCAAACAAAAAAATGCCTTGCTGAGCATGCGAGATCTGACGAGGTAGGGCTCATTTCATTCCCTCGATTGCCACACATCAAACAAAATCTCACGGGGAAATCTAAAACTACCAAGTTTTTTTTTCGAAATTCTCAACCCATACGGTTTAGCCGTATTATTGTGCAGGGAAATTGAGTTTTCAAATCCATACGGCGTACAGCCGTTTCAATACAGGCACACAAAAATGTCTATTTGTTTGTGTATCTCCCTTGTGATGGGACTTTGTAGGATGAACGTTGAGATGTGTAAGGGCACGGGGTGACAAATAAGGTCCGAATTGGTCTGTAATAAGTTAGGGCACTGATAAGGGGTTGACAGGTGTGGAATCCTGATGTTCGCGTGTGTGACTCGACACGTTTTCACATCCACCTTCTGAAAAAGTGCGAGAGAGCAGGGCCATGGTAGTTGTCGATTGTGTATATGTTTCAAAAGTACTGTATATAATGATAACGTGGCCCCCAGTAGAGGCAGTAAGGGAAGTGAAACATTCAAGCAAACAACCACGAACGGTGTAGGAACGATAACGATACTGCCGTAAACATCGGCGAAAATGTGTCACAATTGGGGATTGCGAATCGATTAAAGAATCAATTCATGGGGGGTGTATTTTTTTTCTCGTTGGCAGTTTGTCGGATTTGTGCTGACTTGCATACGCCATGTCTCGTTAACTTTGCCTCTCCAGCGCTGTTTGAATATTGCCTGTCATGTTTGTACTCGTGTGTACCAGTCGTCGAGTTTGTACTGTCATTTTCTGTCCAGTTACTATCCGTCTCGTCTCATTTGTACCGTCCGTCCCGTACGTTCCACTTGTCTCTGCTGTTTGTAATGTCTGTCTTTCTTCTCTAACGTTTGCTTAAAACTACATTCGTAGCCGAATCGCTTGGAATTATAAACGCGCGATTATATGCACGCACCGCGTGCGTTAAGAACAATTAAATCCATGCATTGTTTCACGCCGTACGAATGCTGTGAGCGGCCGTTGTCACAAATCGCGGACATCGGTGATGACTAACGATGGCTTGCGACAGCGATAATTGAGATGACAAACCAAGTGACACATTCACGGAGACGCCACCGATCGTCATATGCATGGCAGTGATGGATGGGCCACGGTTAATGACGGTTCTCAAGACAGTGGCGAGATAGATGATGGGTCGTGACGGGAGAGAACCGGGGATGATCATTCACACGCTACTCGTTCACGAATCCACCGCGAAACCGTGATAATCCTCACAGTGATGGATGATGGCAGTGGAGATGGCTCGTGGCAGAATCGATATGAGATTTCAAGGGACACATTCGAAGCGGGGGGGAGAGAGAGCAACGCCGTGGACATCATCACAACCGTGACGGTACCTATGTATATTTGGAGTTTTTGGACTTCTTTTGCGCTGTACCGTAACCAACCGCGCTAATCGGAGTTGCGGGATGTCTGCATCGACGCATCCCGACAGTGGAAAAACCGAGCTGACGACAACTCGCGTGAACCACGGTTCACTTGAAGCCACCGGCCAATGCACAACCACTGCGGCCACGCCTGTGGTTGTTGCATTGCGCCGACGATGGTGACTTGTAACCGAGACGATAAGTCGAGTGACGGCTTGCTCAAGTCCACCATAGACGCGGTGTTCAATCGCGGCAGCGTTTGGACGCCGACGACGAGAGGGACGAGAGAGACGGTGGCTCGTGACAGATTCGACGTCAAAAGCGAGAAGACATTGGCGAGAAGACGTTGACGCACACCGCGACCGGCGAAGAATGACGGCGATTGACGCCTCGTGGCGGTGAGGATTTTTTAGAGGAGTGCATTCGCAACATTCACAGTGTCGCCACGGAACCATTTTAGTACGTCCGCAAAAATCTGTCAAAACTTGACCCCCCCCCCCCCCTGTACGCAACGCGGACTTTTTACACAACGCCCCCCTCCCGAATCCTATAGAACGGCCGATGTTTAATCCACGCAGAAACGACCAAGGATTAATAATTGTAACGTGTTAAAGCCAATAGATAGTCCGACGCCGGACTATCCAACTCATTTGAAGGCCAATGTAGACAACTTATTATCGAGACTTCTCCTCCCCCCCCTCCCCGTTCCCTATGCGTACTGAACATTGTCAGTAGACCCCCCCCCACCATGCGTACGTACTAAATGTATGGCCCCCAACCACAGCATGATACTTGTAGTACTACTACCGCCGTATCGCTACGAGCGTTATCACGGGTCTTGTTGTCGTGGAGTTGTTACCTCGTTTGGACCATGCCGCTGGAGGAGGGGGCTCGAGAATTGCCAATTCAACCGAGGCACCCTTATAACAATAATACAAAATTATAATAAACTGTCGATGGCGGATCAATCGAACAGTACACGACGAAAAGTAGCCGTGGCTGACACCGGCAGTCAACAATCGACGCGAATATCACAAACGGCGGCGACCATAGCAGCCCTGAACCGGTGATCGCCACGGTGACGCGCACGATCATTTTGTTTTAATGTTTGTTCTTTTCTGCCAGCGTGCGGCGGCGGCGGCGGTGGTGGCAGGGGGGAGGGGGGGGAGTGCTTCCATGAAACTCAACAGCCTACGTGAGGCCAGTTGTTGTTAGCGAGCAGCAGCAGCATCATCAGCAAGCGGTAGTATGAGCATGATATACAGTGCGGCTCCCTCCCCCCCCCCACGTGTATGGCGGCACGGGTCTCCCACCCTCATCCACCACCACCATCACCACCCCCATCCACCAGCACCACCCCCACGCCTTCCTCCATCCCGGCACCGCTCCCCCGCCCCGCGCTCTCCTCGCTCCGAGTGTCCGACTCGGGGAGCGGCGGCGCCGGCGTCGTCGTCGTCGGCGATGATGGTGGTGGTGGTGATGGGAGGGGGGAGGAGGAGGAGGGAATGGGGGCGGAGCCTCGCCAACGAAACAGCCCCGGCCCAATGGCAGCGACGGGAGAGGAATAATTAACGCGGTTGCCCCTGGCTACGGGGGAGACGTCAGCACTGGGGCTGCCAATCAAAGAAATGACTTCACAAGTTCCCCACCCACCCCCCAGCAGTTTCGTGGCTTCGCGTGCCCCGGGTGGCCGTGGAAGAAGCCCGCACAGACAACGACGACTCGGCCGTGGTGGTGGTGGTCGTGGTGGTCGTGGGGCTTAGGGCGAAGTGGTCGGGAGAGTATTTTTAAGTAAATTTTTAACCAAATCCCCCTTCCACCTCTCAAAGAAAACAATATTTTTTTTGTACACGTATGTAAAGTTGATTCTTGTTTTGAGTTTTTTTTATTTAGCGGGTGGGGAGGGTGAAAGAGATTTGTGGTGCTTGGGGGGGGGGGGGGTTTGGTTTTAGTTTAAAAAAATATATAAAACCAAGAAGACAAAGTCCGGAGTTTGGTCGTCACACGAGGTGAGTGGAGTGTGGGTATTTAAATCCCCCCACACACACACAGCAAAGTGGCCACTTTGAACAACAACAACAGAAAATATCAAGACAGAGATTGTGCTTAAAGTGGGGACGCGTTCGTGGTGGGTTTCATGAGACTTGAGTATCTGGGCATTGTTTAAATTGAGGATACCTTGGTTGTACTGTACTTCTGTGCCGCTCCTGACCCCCATCCCCCCCCCTCTTTTTTCGAACTCGCACTGACCAGCGTGGTGAAGTATGGTCAAATGAACCCCAGCAATGATTGACAAAAGAGGGCTTTGTTTCGCGAATGTTGAAAGACTTTTGAATGAACTGTCACGATTCCGGGAGTCGTGGTCGGATTCAGAAATGGATCGGGTGTTTGTGTCTCGTGTATTTTTTTGTCTTTCCTCTCCCCCACACACACACACACCCCGTCTCGTTTGTAATGTTTTATATCGTGTCTCTTATTGCTGTTTCAGCGTTTGCACAGTTTCTGTTCGACCCATTCGCCGAGCTAATGCGCGCTCGCAAATCCATTGGCGTGTAGTAGTAATAACGTGTAAACACCGTTTTTAGTCGATTTCTCTGGGGCACGATTCTGCACAAGGAGCGTGAGCCACAGAAGAGATCTTCAAATCGATTAATCGTTAAACGACAACACGTTTGCGTAACTCTTTAGTGCGGCGTTGATGAACGCGTTGGAGTGTAATCGGTTATCCAAGTGCAAGCGGTGAGAATGGATGGTATAGCACTACTATAGCTGGACTGCAATGCATTAATCGTGCAATGCATAGAGCACAGCTGATTTTTATGCAATTGTGTAGGGCTGTGTCTATGTTGTGTGTGTGTGTCTGTGTTGTCTCTCTCTCTCTGCCTGTGTGTCTCCGTGTCTGTGTTTTGTCTCTCTCTCAAATTGAGTTCTACCTGATGACGGTTGCTTGTGTTGCAATCGAAACGTCGTACTCTATTATTTAATTTATTTTCTTTCTACGTGACTTTACCGAAAGAACCAAAGAGTAATGAATTCCTGCAGTCACGAAAGCTTCAAATCAAATTGTTGTATGTGTTTTAACGGCCGATGTTTAAAAAACAAAAAAGTTACAAACGTGCTTGTGTATTCCCACTATCTCCAATTGCTCCTCTCTTAAAGGGACGCCTACAACAACATACTGCTGCTGATCCTCTTCAATTACGATAGATTAAATGTCTTGCATTCAAAGATCGACTTCTGCTTAGCGTTATAATCCATTGCATGAACAGTAATCATTAACAGTCCCCTTGAAGGGTGGTGCACGTGGGTAGGTAGGCAGTGTGTTGTACAATGTCATTTTTTTTTCTTCCGGACAGGCTTTTAAAAGTAATGCGCATAAAGGCAATTGTCCCTTTATTAACCCGGGGTAGCCTCGCTGAGTCTCCACACCCATGTGCTCAGGAGGGTCCTGGTCCATTGGTCGGGGATGTTTGGCCTTGAATGACATTGTTCGTGAGACTTTGGCTTCACGCACACACGCACACGACACTCGGAAAACCTCCGCACAGATTGGTGCAAGGATCCAAGTTAGAATTGGCATGCGTTGAATCCACCGCTGTTGCTGTAAAGCCCACCGTGAAATCGCCGCGTATCAACAACAGTCCCCGTGAGTAGGTGGAGCAACAAAAATAAATCCATCGGTTAATCGATCTATATCGACGTGGTGAGTCGAGATGCGTGTTTTGGGATCTCGTGCATCGCCATCTATGACCGTTGTGTTGGTCGCACGTAAATTACTTCACTTTGATGCCCCTTCAGCCACTGGAGGCGCTGCATCCGCGATGTTAAAAGTATCGATTAACGGATGGGATCGATTCATTAGGGGCTGGACGTGAAGTCACCTCGAGTGTCGCAGAGAGGCGATTTCGCCATGAAATTATATTATTATTGGTTGATCAGTCGAATACATTAGATGCGTATGCTCACGTTACACGCGTAAAATTGTGCTCGTGAGAAATCGTAACTTGGCGAGTTACGAAGTTTTTATGCCGATGTTACATTTCAATTAAGGGAGCGAACCGAAACTCGACAAACGAGACAGAAAATAGACTTAATGCAGGTGAGACGGCGTAATTTGGAATAAAAGTCTACTGTTAAATCGAATCGTGACTTCCTCATGTGACGAGAGAGGTGAATCTCCACGGTTTACAGAGTGCAGTTTCCAACTCTTATAATCCCACTCTGGCCTCTCTTGATCTCATATGAAGAAGGAGCTGTTGCCCGAAACGTTGCCTATTGTATGTTTTCCTTTTAAGGTCGCAGTTATTGACGGATGTGTTGAGCGTATATGTCAGGAGGTGGTCAAATCGTGGGCTAACGATCCGTAAGGTCTTAACAAACAGGATGGGTCGGATGGGACAAACTCATGGACGTGACCCCCACAGCCACTAGAGGCGCTAGCATTCCCAACAATCTTAGTTTTATCTTTAAAGTCAATTAATCGAGAAATTGAATTTCCACTGGTCATCGATGGTTGGAATCGTTAACGTGTGTATCGGCTGTCTAAAAGTCAACAATTTGACTTAGTCGAAGTTAAATTGTGGGCCACATAAATTTGACATGCGCTCAAATTAAGAGGGTGGGACTGCCGATCAATTAATTGATTTAATTAGATTCCAACTTTTACGTAACGTATATGGTGAATCCGTGCATGGGAGTATCGATTATATACTATTCCCACATACTGTATATACTGTACTTTTAACGTGGATTGAATCGAATCGATTAATCCACGTGGATTTGGAATCATTGCATGCTTGTTGAGGTAGTCTGCCATATATAAACATTATTTGTGTTTTTTTATCATTTGGTGACCCGTGTGAGTCAATCAAATAAAGAGACGTAAGTTCTCACCTGGTTACACACACAAAAAACTACTTTCAACTTGCAAATCAAATCCGTTGTTGAATACATTCTTAAAGTAAACTTGAGTTATACAGTAATTATGGGGCTTTCATTTAACATTTTTATTGTACCAGGTAAGGCCCACTGGGCTATCCATCTCTTTTTCAGAAGCGACCTGTCCACAAACGATAGCCCAATTAAGTGGCTTATCATGTGGAAATCTATAGCAGCTGAACCCAGCCCCCCCCCCCTCCAAAAAAACGCCAAGCGGCCAGCAATAAACAGCGTCAAAATTGTATTCATGGAGATAAGAGTGAACGCGTTTCTCAAATTTAACAAGGCTCTTAAGAACGTGGGGATGGAGACGATGGGAGGAGGGGAATTCCAAAGTGGAGCAGAGAGGTAAGAAGTCAAAAAGAAGTGAGGTGAGCGGCAGTATATGGTGAGCGGGTGAGTCACTAGGTGGGTGGTGAGTTAGTGTTGTGTTGCTATGTGGTGGTTGAACACTATGGATGAGACGACACTGGCATACTACATTCCTCAACAACGATGGAATGGTGTAACAATAGTCGGAATATTTGCGATTTATGTCCACTTATTTTGCATTTCACATTAACCGGCGTGTGACTTGAACTGTTGATTAAAACAATTAAGTAGTCGTTTCTTCAATCGAATTGTGAGCATGGAATCGTTGAGCGGGATTGATGTCCATCCACTGCTAGATGAATGTCTCCACATGGTGTCGATCATTGAGTTTTCTTGATCTTAACTTCACTACGCTGGTCAGTGTGAGTAGAAGGGTGTGGGGGGTGGGAGCTCGAAGTGCGGTTCTGATATCACACGCCACTGATGTTATCCGTCGCCGGGAATCAATCGAACGTGGCCGATTATTCGTAGCCATTAATTATATAAAAAGTGTTTCTAAGTTTGAGAATACATAATTTCCAAGATGTTTTCATCTTTATTACGCACGATCTTCCCCGAGACAAGTCGTGGTTAATGTAAGAAATGCAAAGTAACAAGCTAGTAGACGCACGCATTATCTAGCAGAAGAAATATTATCTCGTTCATAAATTTTTCTTCCAAAAGACATCTTCTGCCCATCTTTAAGAAGCAGCAGCGTGTTCAGAATCATCTTCTGGCAGGCACGGTTACCGTATTCTCCCCATTAGCAGCCCCACACGCAATTTGTTTAAATACCCCAAGACGTTCGGGGAGGTGCGTCTTATTTTCCGGTGCGTCGTTAAGTCGGGTACATACGGTAATTGAAAACGGCTCGTTCGCTCGTAGGCAATCGTTCATAACTGAATTAAAATACAATACTATTAATCGAGTTATATTTAAAATGCAATAATCGGAACCCCTATGGTGTATCGTGAAGTCTCCAACTCTCGTTGGCCACTTGTGTACAGTATTCGCTGGTGAAAGAATGTGGCCATTTTTCCCCCCCAAGCGTCGTCTTAGTTTCCGTGTTAAGGCCACGCATAAGTGCTGTTGTCGAATGTTGAGTTTTGCCGCTGCTGTTGTTAATTGCGCTTTGTGCACCGCTGCTGCCGATGCAGTGTCGCCAAGATAAGTCGATAAAATAAGAGAGGCGGCGCGACGTTTCGCTGTGTACGTGACGCGCAGTGGGAGCCGCGATGGCGCTTTACGTAACGTGGCGGCTCGCAAGATCCGGCAACTGGAACCACCGCCAAGTGGACCGGAGTCAAGATTTTATTTATTTCTCTCGCATTTGCTGCATTCCACTTCTTTTTTTTCTCCCCCTCCTTTTCCGTCGAATGGTATTCGTGAAGTGTTTTTATTTTGACGGTTTTATTTTATTGTTTAGCTGCCTTTATTCAGGATATCCAAGCATCTGTTTGATCCCATCTTTTGTGCATTTTTCTCACGTTTAACCTTCGTGACGGAATTTACAAACAGAAACAAGAGAGACACCAAAAAAAAAAACGCAGTCACTTTTAAACACGACACCAGACTCGGTTTGTCGCCTTTGATTCAATAAACATCGTAAGATTTAAAATACCGCACAGGGCAAATGAAACGCCGTGCGTTATTTGGTCTCTACTCCGTTTGCTCCATTCCGCATTTTGTCTTGCACAGCGTGGCGAGTCAGAGTGACGCC